CATTGTTGGTGGGAATGTAAATTGATACAGCCACTATGGAGAACAGTATGGAGCTTCCTTAAAAAACTACAAATAGAACTACCATATGACCCAGCAATCCCACTACTGGGCATATACCCTGAGCAAACCATAATTCAAAAAGAGTCATGTACCAATATGTTCATTGCAGCTGTATTTACAATAGCCAGGAAATGGAAGCAACCTAAGTGTCCATCAACAGATGAATGGATAAAGAAGATGTGGCACATATATACAATGGAATATTACTCAGCCATAAAAAGAAACGAAACGGAGTTATTTGTAGTGAGGTGGATGGACCTAGAGTCTGTCATACAGAGTGAAGTAAGTCAGAAAGAGAAAAACAAATACCGTATGCTAACACATATATATGGAATCTAAAAAACAAACAAAAAAATGGTCATGAAGAACCTAGGGACAGGACAGGAATAAAGATACGAACCTAGTAGAGAATGGGCTTGAGGATACAGGGAGGGGGAAGGGTAAGCTGTGACAAAGTGAGAGAGTGACATGGACATATATACACTACCAAATGTAAAAGAGATAGCTAGTGGGAAGCAGCCGCATAGCACAGGGAGATCAGCTCGGTGCTTTGTGTCCACCTAGAGGGGTGGGATAGGGAGGGTGGGAGGGAGGTGCAAGAGGGAGAGGATATGGGGATATATATATATACGTATAGCTGATTCGCTTTGTTATACAGCAGAAACTAACACAACATTGTAAAGCAATTATACTTCAGTAAAGATGTACAAAAATAAATAAAAAAGAATAAGTACCTACCTCCCAAGAGTTTGATGAAGATTCAACAGCATTGGGCACATAATTCATGCCAGTCATTGACAGTTGTTGTTGGATCTGCTGCTCCAAGTGGGGGACAAGGCGGGGAAGGGATGACCGCCTGGATGCCTTGGAGAGTGTCAGCTCTACCATTCAGACCCAGGCTCACACCCTTTTTCCTGCAGGTCAACAGAAGTGTCCCTTTACTAGGGTAGGGACATGCTAATGGCTGTGATGAGTGCCGTATCCATGAGGTCTTCGAGGGCCTAAATCCAAAGACCCTACATTGGCTCCCCCATACCCAAAGCCATGGCCACCTCAGGTCATCCCTCAAAGCCAAATCTGTGGACTGATCACTTCAATAGAGGCTTCTCCTTTCATTTCCAATGTGAAGATGCTCTGGGTGTCAAGTAACAACGGTCTGAGTTAAAGCAGCTTAAGCCGTGAAGATGGATGATTGGCTGCCACAGCTGAGGACACCCCGTGGTAAAGCAGTGAGGAGGTCTGCTCAGGGTTTGCTCAGCCTGCTCTGCTCTCCTGGCTCTGCCCCCTCCAGGAATTGCCTTGGTTGTCCCTGGTCTGCTTGCAGGATGGCTGCAGCCGCTCTCAGCCTTCTATCTTCACATAATGATCTCCAGGGAAAGAGAGCAAGAGCAGGTTCCAGAAACTTTCTAGAGAGAAGATGGAAGCTCTTTTCCCAGAGGCTGCCAGTCAGTTTCTCTGCTCATCTCACTGGCTTAAATTCGGTCTTATGATTAACCCTAGACCAACTCCTATGGCTTTTTGGATGCCAGATGCTGATTGGCTTCATCTTGGTATGAGGAGTCCCAAGTATATGCCTCATTCTGTCCCTGGAGCAATGGAGATGGAATAACCTTTGACTAAACAGAGTCCATCCCTGGAACTCAAGTCAACCCCCCAAACCTCAGGGCTGCCATTGCAAGAGGACAGGAGTGAGATGGATGCTGGAGAGGCACCACAGGTCTACAACTCTGCTGGACCATCTTCTTCAATTCAGCAAACAATTATGAAGTGTCTGCTGTGTGCCAGGCAGGGTGCAAGGTGTTTGATGACACAGGGACAGGGGCCCATGTTATCGAGAGGGATAAATGAGCCAACTTGTGCAAGTGCCCGGGGCAGCCCTCAGCCCCAATACCTGTTCAGTATTGTCTTCATTACAATGAATCCTGCACGAGTATTCCCTGCCATCCAGGAGACAGACTTAAACAATAAGTTCCAGCAGCATATGGAGAGGGGCTAGAGTAAGCCTGTGGGTGGCATAAAGGAGAAAGCTGACTCAAGGAGTATGCAGAAGCCTGGCCTCAAGAAGTGTATAGTAGGGCTTCCCTGGTGGCGCAGTGGCTGGGGATCCGCCTGCCGATGCAGGGGATGAGGGTTCATGCCCCAGTCCAGGAAGATCCCACATGCTGTGGAGCGGCTGGGCCCATGAGCCGTGGTCGCTGAGCCTGCGCGTCCGGAGCCTGTGCTCCGCAATGGGAGAGGCCACAACAGTGAGAGGCCCGCGAACTGCAAAAAAAAAAAAAAAAAAAGAGAGAAGTGTATAGCCCACTGGTTCTTAACCTTGACTTCATGTTTGATTCACCTGAAAGAGATAGACAGAGGAAGGGATAGAGAAGATGTGGTATATATACAGAGTGGAATATTACTCAGCCATCAAAAAGAATGAAACAATGCCATTTGCAGGAACATGAGTGGACCTAGAGATGATCATACTAAGTGAAGTAAGTCAGACAAAGACAAATATCATATTATAAAATCACTTATGTGTGGAATCTAAAAAAAAAAATAGATACAAATGAACTTATTTACAAAACAGAAAGAGATTCACAGACATAGAAAACAAACTTATGGTTACCAAAGGGGAAAGAAGAGGGCTGAGGGATAAATAGAAGGTTGGGATTCACACATGCACACTACTATATAGAAAACAGGTAACCGACAAGGACCTACTGTATAGCACAGGGAACTACACTACAGTCAATATTTTGTAATAACTTATAGGGGAAAAGAACCTGTGCCATATAACTGAAACTAACACAACGTTGTAAATCAACTATACTTCAATTTTTAAAAAAGCTCCCCACACCAGTGAGGTCACAATCTCTGGGGGTGGGACCCCTCACCACGGTTAGTTTATCTTTTTAAATATCCCCAGGTGGGGGCTTCCCTGGTGGCGCAGTGGTTGAGAGTCCGCCTGCCGATGCAGGGGACACGGGTTCGTGCCCCGGTCCGGGAAGATCCCACATGCCGCGGAGCGGCTGGGCCCGTGAGCCATGGCCGCTGGGCCTGCGCGTCTGGAGCCTGTGCTCTGCAACGGGGGAGGCCACAACAGTGAGAGGCCCGTGTACAGCAAAAAATAAAAATAATAAATAAATAAATATCCCCAGGTGATTAAAATGTGTAGCCGAAGTCAAGAACCACCCCTTATAGGCTATTGAAAACATAAAGCACGCATACATTAACTAACAATGCTGAGCTGTGAGGGTGCATTAAAATGAACTATTGTGTTCCAGGCTCAGAGCAGGGAGAGCGCAAGGTAGGCAGGGGGCCTAAGGGGCCTTGAAGAACCAGTGGGATCTGCCTGATCTGAGCAGTCTGGAGGTGGCCTCTCAGTGTGAGAGGAACGGGTATGAGCAAATGTATGTGTGCAAACCTAGAGGGTGTATCAGTCTGGACCCAGCCAGGAGAGAGAAACCACACAGTAATTTCAACAAGGAAATATAAAAAATTATTAACTATAACAGCGTATTAGAATAAGGAAGGATTAGCTGCTAAGTAGAGAGAACTCTGAAGGCTATAGGAATGCAGATATCAGGACACCCACCCTCCCTGGGGCTGAAAAAGAGCACCCTGTGGAGAGCCCACTGCCACCCAGGCAGAGCTCCAGACTTGGCTGACACAGCGTGGCTCACTGAAGGGCAGAGAAATCGCTGTGGTGTTACCCTGGCAGAACCTTCCAGAAACCTGCCCTCCAGATGCTGGGGAAAGCTGTCCACAAGGAGGTTTCTCATGGAGCACACGGATGGGGGCCACAGCTGAGACAGCGCAGGAGAATCAGGAGGCAAAACCCAGCAACGTCCCCTACAAGCAAGTGGAGGCTCAGAGAGGCAACAGAACCTCCTCAGGGAACTGGCAAAGCTGGATTTCCACCCAGATCCACCTTTCCTGTACATTCAGCTACCTCTCTGAACAAACAGAAATGCAAGATCCAGACTAAGATCATTGACATAAGCTGCCCAGGGATGGAAGGGGTCTGTGCTCAGTGAAGTCAGTGGGGAGGGCTTCGTGGAGGAGGTGAGGCTTCCAATGGACCTTAGGGGGGCTTTTATTTTAAGGAAACGAGGGAGGAAAATGACAAGAGGTGGCTTCCAGGCTGCCTTTGCAACACAAGCCGCGTTGATCAATTTCACATGCAGAAGAGCCGACCTGGGCTCAGACGGGACTCTGCACAACCAGTAGAGGGAACAGTAAAAAAAACTCTTGGGTGACGAGAAGAAGGTCCGAGGTAGAACAGAATCAAGGAAGCTCTTATATGCCAGAGAACCTGGATCGGAGCTGATGTGAAATCAACTCACTGTGAGACAGCCAGAACCCAGGGTCATGGGGCTCCTAGGACCCCTCAATCGCATGCCAGCCTCTCTGTGGAATGAATACAGGAGAGCAAATACCAGCTCTGCAGTCACATATACCACTAGAGTCCCAGCTCCAGCATTTAGCTGTGTGTCCTGGGGCAAGTCCCTCAACCTTTCTAAGTCCCAGGGTTCTTCATCCGTCAGTTGGAAACAATGATCCCTTCTTTGCAGTTTCGCTCAGGTGAAGTCCCCAGCACACAGCCTGGCACAGGGCGCGTCTTTCATCACTGGTAGATTCTCCCTCTCCTACTTTTACTCTGTAGGCCCTTCCTGTCTTTTAAGAAATCCCGTGCCTCTGAAAGTAAATGTTTTCAATTCAGGAATTGCAGATTCCTAAATAGGTGCACCTGGAGGAGTGCCAAGGTCTTGGCGGCCAATGACATCCTCTCGAGACTCGGGCTTCACAACTCTGCACTCACCACTTGGAAGGAAAAGCTCGGGTTTAGGGGATGCAGCCACTCTGTTCTTGGCTCCCCAGCCAGATGGAGCCTTGAAGTGAGGTTTCCTACCCAATGTCCGCAGGGCAAATAACGATGCTTCTTTACCTTTTAGGAGGAGAAATCACCAAGCCTCGCTTTGCTCAATTCTTCCACGGCAGCCTGGCCAGTCTCACCATCCGCCCTGGCAAAATGGACAGTCAGAAGGTGGTTTCCTGCCTGCAGGCCTGCAAGGAAGGGCTGGATATCAATTCCCTGGAAAGCCTGGGCCAAGGAATAAAGGTAAGGAAGGAGCCAGCATCGCTCCCGGTGAGACAGTGCTTTGTGAGGCAGAGGCTGCTAAACACCAGTGCAATCCTGGACGCGGAGTCATTTCCTGCCACGTCACACCGAGCTGGTACCATGGCAAAGGTGCTGCCACAGCAGGGAGATAGGTGACCGTGACCGTGACCGCACAACAGACTCTGTGCTGTCTCCTGAAATTCCTAGATGAAGCCCTCGAGTGCAATCAGTTCAGTGCATAAAAGCAGGCACACGTTCAATGTCTACCTGGAGGGAGTTGCTATATTTCATTGTTTCCTGGGTTGGTGGGTTGCTTTGTTGTTTATTTGCCCAAAGGAACTGAAGGAGCAGTTACGCAAGCATAACTTTCAGAAATACAGAAAAGTAGGATTACAAGTTTGGACCATGGAAACTACTAATTACAAAGGAAGGTCACCCCGGGGTGGGTGGAATTAGAAAGCAGATGCAGAGGTCACTGGGTCTTATGTTGTTAAGTTGAGGCCCGGATTGGGCTCCAGGCAATGTCTGGCTGCCAAAGGGAATATGAACAGATTCACAATTTCATCATCCACACAACATAAAACTCTTCAAACGAAAAGCTCCTCCTGAGGGGCGCAGGATGTGGCTGACTGTCCTCATCAAGCACCTCCCCGCCCACGATGGGCGGAGATAGATCTGGCCTCACCTGGACCGAGGAGCACCTGCCCGCATCAGGCCTCAGGGTCCTGAGCAAAGAGCAGGGTAGACATCCTCACAGCCCCCGCTCCATCATAGTGGACCCCAGTGACAGCAGACAGCCCCTTGGCCTCCTCTCTGGGAGTGAGGGCGGCCCACCCTCTGTCTCCAGGGACACAGGACAGCCCCATGAGGCCCCAGCGGCTGTGAAGGTTTCCCAAGGAGGGAGTGACCAGAACAGAGGTTTCCCACCACCTCCCATCCGTCCCCACTCAGCACTGCCCATGGAGCTGCCCGGCCTCCCCACCCCAGGCCTGCGTCTCCTGGACAGGGGTCACCCCTCCAACAGAGGGCCCTCTCATTTACACTCTTAGTGGCCGACTGCCTGTGGGGCTCTGACTTGGGCTGGCCTTGGAGGGACCAGTGATCTGGGCAAATCATGCCTCGACTTCACGTTGCAGTCACTTCAGCAAACATTCCACGGACACCCGTATAATTTGGTTCTGGGCTGCGGAGAGGGACACGAAAATGAATGTTCCAAGATTACTGTCTTTGGGGCACTCAATGGCCCAAGCAGACACCTGTAATCTGGTGCTCCAATGATTATGAGCACCGACATTTACTGAGGGTCTCCTGGGTACCAGGCAGTGTTCTAAAACCTTTATGGGTTTAACTCACTTAAGCCCCAGAACCACCTATGATAAAGGTACCATGAATCTTCCCATTTTGCACATGAGGAATGGAGGCCTGGAAGAGAAAGGAAAGTTGCCAGGGATCCCAGAGTGAGTCAGGAGCAGAGCCAGAATGTGATCCCAGGCAGTTCTGCTCCAGAGCTTCAGAACCGGGAGCAACAGCAGGGAGGGAAGGCTCCTTGGAGGAGGTGAAGTCTGAGCATACTGTTTAGGACAGGTAAGAACCAACCAGGAGAGAGGCAGGCAGTGGGTGGCAAGGGAGAGGGCAGGGCGGTCACTCTAGGCAGAAAGCCAGTGTTACAAGTGCCCAAATTGCAGGAGGCAAGCTAGAGAGCGGGACCAGAGAGGTAGGCAGAGGCCGGGTCATGGGGCCTTGTTAATGTCTGGTGTTTACTTTTTTTTTTCTGTTGGCAACAAGCAACCATTGAAGGGCTCCATGCAAGGGAGCATGATCTGGACAGGCGTGGGGTTCAGAATGCTCACCCTGGAGCCCTGGTCAGAGGGGGAAGATGGGAGGAGTACACAAGCAGGGTAAAGCATGAATGACCTTCCAGAACCTTGTTTAAAATGCAGGAAACACATACACACAGGTGCTCTCAATAGCTAATCACCTGTCTGAAGGAAACTCACAAGACCACCTGTGCTGCAAAGGCCAGCATTCCACCTGTCAATTTCATGGCAGCTGGCCCAGGCAAGCCCCTCGTGGCACATTTCATACAGATATCCTCACAGGCAGAGCCTGGGGTCTGATCCTTGGTCTACTGTTTGTATTGTTCCCTCAGTGTTTTGTCAAGCCAGTGAAATCTGTCCTCCAACAGATCCAGAATCTGTCCCCTCTCTGATTCTGAATTTGCTCCCTGCCTCTGCGTGGATCTTCTCTGCTCTAGACCATCCCATGGGGCCACAGTTGTAGGATTCCAAGCACCACAGAACAAATAAACCAAAGATGCTGGACTTAAAAGCCACACATTCTTAGAACTATAAATTAAGAACCATAGCAATTCCTACACAGCGGTCCTAGCCCGTGAAAGAGGAAGTGCTAAATGAAGTGGCACCTAGAGCTGTGGGGAGTGGAGGGGGCTCATCTGACTTTTTAGAATACCACCTGCTCAGAACCAGTCACTGCAAACGATCCTTTCCCATCCTTAGGGCACGGCGGGCAAGAACTAGTTCACTGTATGAGAAGTTAATGATAACACACACGATGTTACGGTGCACCCACTGGGGGCTATTTTAAGCTCATTATTCCTACTCCTCACAACAAATTAAATATTATGACCCCATTTCAGAAATAAGGAGGTTGGGACTCAGGGACTTGGCCAAAATAAGTCTAGGCTCTTTCCACCACAAGACTCAGATTAGAAGGCATTCTTGAAAATTATTAAAACTGCTTCCAACCTGCCTTTCCTCCTTCGTCCCTCATTTCTTTTTTGAATAATGACTAGTACTTTCTCTACTGGCTCCTGGCCTCCTCCCTCCCCTCTGGCTAGTCCTGCCATGATTAAGAAAACATCCCGTCTACTCACAGGGTCCCACATGGGTTCCTCGTCTCACTTGTTTTCCCCTGGATCATGCATATTTCCAGCTATTTCTCCAGCATGTCTGGAGTCATCACATGATCGAGGTGGTTGTTGTTATGTATCCATATGAGACACTGTGGAATCGCCACATTCCTGAAGAATACACACTTTTGATTTTCATAGCGTCATCCCTGCCAAATTGTCATCTCTAGTGTGGAAGAGTGGGAAAAAGCAAGAACTTTGGGACAAAACCCTCCTAGGTTCAAAGCACAGTATGGATATTCATGACCTGGGTGACCTTGGGCAAGGTACTTTAATCCTTTAAGCCCCAATTTCCTTGTGTGTAAAATGGACTTAGTATTATTTTGTAGTGATGTAAGAATTGAATAACATATATATTTTTTATATATCCTTACATATATTTATATATCAGATATAGCAAAGATACACTTACAGATGAGATATATAGATATAGATATACATATAGATATAGATACAGATGTCCCCTAGAAAACCTGATAACTAGGCTCTCAACAAATCACAGTTCCCTTCTCCTGCTGGGCTGACCTTGCACTCGGCATTGCTGATGCCCCAGCTTCTTTTGAAAAGTAATCCTGGGTGACAGTTGCAACAGAAGAGCCTCTATTGCAGGGAATCTTCATCTGTCCCAGCCCAGAGGAGCTGGCAGGGAAGGCGAGGTGCCTGGAGGGCCACAGCCAGCCTGTCCTCAAAGAACAGGCCAGGGCTTTCAGCAGGGACTTCACCGATGTCCCAGCCTGACCCTCCAGGACAGCTGACCATTCTGCTAAGACCATCTGTCTAACCGCTTCTTGGTTCAAAGAAAGGAACCACTGTGGCTACAGCCCAGCTTTCCAGGGAGAGTGAGTGCTGTCACCTTTTGCTAGGTCCCCAGGAAGCCATCTCCTGCCCCTGTGGAAATGCCAATACCATCCTGTGTCTCGCAAAACCAGAGACCAACCCTCAGTCATGCCACAAAAGACAACACAAACATACAAGCAAGACCTATTCTAGTGGAGGGTTTTATTGATCCTGCAAGAACCGTGTTGATGGCTAGCCAGTGCCCACCTCAAGCCCTGTGGCAGCCTTTGGGGTGCTCTGGCAGCCAGACTTGGGTATTCACTAGAGATCCAACACATTCCCTAACCTGTCCTCTCCCTAGGAGGCTTCAGTGGGAGTGCCCTCTGCTGATGCCAGGGGCTGCTGCCCAGTCCATCCTCCTGGATGAATTGCTTGATTTTCCTGTTCAGCCCTCATGCACGGCTCAGAGATTGGCCTTTTCTGCAGGGGGCATCATCTTGTCTCTAGATGCTGAAAAAAGTCAGTGGACCTTGCCCTCGAGGTGCTCACAGTCTGCTGGTGGAGGGCACACAGACAGACAGATAGCAAAAGCACCAAAAGACTGCTACAGCAGGGGTTGGCAGGGACGGGGAGAGTGCAAAATACATGGAAACTTAAGTGGTATATTTAGAAGAATGACTTTCAATCTGCTCAAATGAGAAATGGATGATCTGTAAAACACTCAGAACTATTGATGATTCACCAGCATGTGGCATCTCCACGGCTGAGCACGCTAAGCTAGTGAGTCAGGCCCAGCAAGAGAGAGACCAACAAGAGGCCGACTGTAGCACCACCTGTGCATATGCCCAGGGGCTCCTGAATCCAGCATAGGGAACAGTGCTTGTGACCAGATGTCGCAGCTCAGAGAGACCCTGCTCAGGGCTTTGAGGACAGGAGGAAACTGGATCATAGGGAAAGAGGAACAGTGAGGGCAGCGGGGGACCATTCACTCATTCATCTAACAGGGGCTTCCGGGGCACTAGGACAAGGTTCTGAGATTCGGGGATAACGGTCGGAGCACCTGTCCTCAGTGAGCTCGTAGTCACTGCACTATAATAATTATACTACCATTTCATAGCACTATAGGAGCTCAGTGGGGACCTAAGTGAGGGAAGCTGGGGAGGCTTCAAGGAGGAGGTAACAATGAAACAATCACAGGATAGTTGAAAGAGACAAAGACTGAGCTATCAGTTGGCTGGGGGTCACAATGCAAGGGACTTATTATGCGGGACAATGGCACCACAGTACTCATGAGATAACTACCTCCTGATAGGGTCCGGACACAGAACAGGAACTCTTGTAAAGACATCCGAGTCATATCAGGGAAAAGCTAATATAAATAGATTTTCCCTTAAAAGCTTGAAAACATACTCAATCTACTTCATGGAAAGAGTAATGCAAAATAAAACTACACTAAGATAGTATTTATCACCTATCAGATTGGCAAAAGTCCCAAGTTTGACAGCACGCTCTGTTGAGGTTTTGGAAGAACATTCTCATATGCTATGAGAGGGAGAGCATATTGGTATAATCCCTAGCAATGGAAAATTTGCAACATTTGTCAAAATTTAAACTGTATATACTCTTTGACCTAGCAATTTCCCTTGTAGGGATTTATACTACAGATATATTTACACACTTAGGAAATGTTATATATATAAGATTATTCATTGCGCCATTATTAGTATAAGACTGGAAATAACCCAATGTTCATATTAGGAGACTGGTTAAGTAAATTATTTAATATTAAATAATATTAAACAACTTTAAAAAAAATAAAAGATCTCCAAGACAAAAGCTAAGTGAAAAAAGCAAAGTGCAGTATAGTGTGTAACAAGCTACCTTTGGTGTAAGAAAGGAGAAAAATGGGAATCTATATTCATTGATTAAATATTCATAAAATGCTTAAGTATAACTGTCAGGATACGCTAGGTTATGCTGCAGTAACAAGTGAATAAAATTTCAGTGAATTATACAGCAATTTTTTTTTTATGGTGTGCACTTCATGCCCATTAAAGACTGGCTGCAGCTCTGCCCCCCTCACTGTGAGACCCAGGCTGATAGACCATTAGGGAACTTTGCAGATTTCATGGCAGAGGGAGAGGGACATGGCACCACGAATTAACTGGCTGTGAAATCTACCATCCGGGTGTGAACCAAACAATACTTCTGCCCACTGTTTGTTGGCCAAAGCAAGTCACATGACCACTATTGAGTGCAACAGGACAAAAATGTATATCCTGTATGGAAGAGTGCCATAAATCACATGAGCAAGCCTGCTGACAGGCTTGTATAAGCATCTCACTGGGAGGGGAAACAACTAATTTTGAACAATAATGCAATTTGTCACTAAGAAATTAATGGAACAGTGATCACCTGTGGGATAAGGTTGAGGAAATTGGTTGGATAGGAGATAGGAATAAGATGGACACTTTCACTTAGCACATATATATATTTGAATATATATGCTCCATGCTCCATTCAAAGAAGAGAAACTGCTGGGAACACCACGGAAGAGACAAGTCTGGATATACTTTAACTGGTTTGAGGACCCACGTGACTCAGTGGGGAGCATCGTAGTCCCTGGGCCTTCACCCAGCGTGGGACACCAGGGACCCAGGATAGGGCAGATAGATAGATAACAAACCTAGGGCAGCTGGCAGGCGTGTAAACAGCAAGTGATTAAAACTCATGGGAAACCAGAGTTTAGCACCTAGAAGGCAAGACCAAGAATCGGATCTAAGAGAGAAGGAAGGCCATTAACTTAAAAATGAACTTTAAGGTTGGAAACTAAAAAGATGAGACATGGGTCAGGAGGCGGAGTGCAGGGTGAATGGGGGAGCAGTTCAAGGCCAAAGTCAAGACGGCAAAAGGAACAAAAGCCCCAGGTTTCTGGGCTATGAGCTGAGGGGGTGGCAGTCCAAGAGCTGAAAGTTTCTGGGAGGGACCCCATAGTAGCCCAGAGCATGAGCCCACCAAAGGCTGGGCCCCAAGAGCACTGTGTCTGGGATTTCAGAATTCATCCTGTGGCTCCCGGTGGTATTACCAGGAGTTTATAATCCATGGGGAATCTTACAGAGGAGGGTCCCGAAGCCCACCAGAGGGCAGCAGGGATTGCTTGAGGGGTTAAAACAGTTACCTGTGCACACAGCTCCTGCACTTGCACATGCTCTGGAGACGCCTGTGCGGACCTTAATGGCCTTTGCATGGAGACGGAGGGTCTCCGTGAGACTGGGTACACGGTTGATCATTCTCTCCTGTGATACTGCTTTCTGTCTTCCAGTATCATTTCAACCCCTCGCAGTCTGTCCTGGTGATGGAAGGTGACGACATTGGGAACATCAACCGTGCCCTCCAGAAGGTCTCCTACATCAACTCCAGGCAGTTCCCAACCGTGGGTGTGCGGCGCCTGAAAGTCTCTTCCAAGGTCCAGTGAGTGGACGCTGGGCAGCCTGGGGCTCAGCCAAGGCATCAGGGATGGTCCCTGGGAATGTTCTCTCGTAAAACAGGATTCACCTCTCTTCAACTATTGGCAGCTTCTCTGCTCTCCCTATGAGGACACCCCAATGGATCTGTGTTCTCTTTTTGTTGTTTTAAGTGAAATATAGTTGACATACAATGTTCTGTTAGTTTCAGGTGTACCGCTTAGTGATCTGATGTGTACATACACTATGAAATGATCACTATGATAAGTCTGGTAACCATAGGTCCCTATACAGAGTTATTACAATGTTATTGACCATATTCCTTATGCTGTATGTTACATCCCTGTGGATTTTTTATTTTATAACTGGAGGTGCATACCTCTTAATCTCCTTCACCTATTTCACCCCATCCCCAACCCCCTCCCTTCTGGCAACCACCTGTTCTCTGAATCTATGAGTTTGTTTTTGTTTTGTTTTTTAGATTCCACATGTAAGTGAAACCATACGGTCTTTCTCTGTCTGACTTATTTCACTTAGCATAACACCCTCTAGATCTATTCGTGTTGTTGCCAATTGCAAGATTTTATTGTTTTTTCTCATGACTTAGTAATATTCCATGTGTGTGTATATATATATATATATATACACACACATCATTTATTATTATTATAGTATTAATATATGTGTTAAATATATACTATATTACAAATATATATCATAAATATATATATACTATATATATATACAAATATATATATATACACACACACCATAAATATATAAAACCACATCTTCTTTATCCATCCATCTATCCTTGGACAGTTAGGTTGCTTCCATATCTTCGTTAATGTAAATAATGCTGCAATGAACGTTAGTGTGCATATATCTTATCGAATTACCATTTTTATTTTCTTCAGGTAAATACCCAGAAGTGAAATTGCTGGATTATATGGCAGCTCTATTTTTAGTTTTTGAGGGGAACCTCCATACTGTTTTCCATAGTGGCAGCACGAATCTACATTCCCACCAATAGTGTTTAGAGGTTTCCTTTTCTCTACATGCTCGCCAACACTTTTTATTTATTTTTGATATTAGCCATTCTGACAGGGGTGAGGTGGTACCTCATTGTGGTTTTGATTCACATTTCCCTGATGATTAGTGATGTTGAACATCTTTTCATGTGTCTGTTGGCCATCAGTATGTCTTCTTTGCAAAAATGTCTATTCAGGTCCTCTGCCCATCTTTTAATTGGGTTACCTGTTTTTTGCTGTTGAGTTGTATAAATTCTTTGTATATTTTGGATATTAACCCTTTACTATATAAGATTATTTGCAAATATCTTCTCCTATTCATCAGGCTGGCTTTTTATATTGTTGATAGTTTCCTTCACCGTGCAAAAGCTTTTTAGTTGGATGTAGTCCCATGGGTTTATTTTTGCTTTTGTCTCTGTTGCCTGAGCAGACACATCCAAAAAAATATTGCTAAGACCAATGTCAAAGAGCATACTGCCTATGCTTTCTTCTAGGAGTTTTATGGTTTCAGGTCTTACTCATTTTGAGTTTACTTTTGTGTATGGTGTGAGAAAGTAGTCCAGTTTTATTCTTTTGCACATAGATGTCCAGTTTTCCCAACACCAGTTATTGAAGAAGTTGTCTTTTCTTCATTTTATATTCTTGCCTCCTTTATCATTGATTAATTGACCATATATGCATGGGTTCAGTTCTGAGCTCTCTATTCTGTTCCATTGATTTATGTGTCTGTTTTTGTGCCAATACCATACTGTTTGGATTACTCTAGGTTCGTAGCATAGTCTGAAGTCAGGAGTGTGATACCTTCAGCTTTGTTCTTCTTTCTCAAGATTGTTTTGGCTATTTGAGATCTTTTATGGATTTAAACAAATTTTAGAATTATTTGTTCTAGTTTGGTGAAAACTACCATTGGCATTTTGATAGAGATTGAATTGAATCTGTAGATTGCCTTGGGTCGTATGGTCATATTAATAATATTATTTCTTCCAATCCATGAGCATGGTATATCTTTCCATTTGTTTGTAATGTCTTTAATTTCTTTCATCAATGTCTTGTAGTTTTCTGAGTAGAGGTCTTCTACCTCCTTGGCTCGATTTATCCCTAGGTATTTTATTCTTTTTGATGCAATTGTAAATGGGATTGTTTTTTAATTTCTTTCTCTGATAGGTTGCTGTCAGTGTACAGAAACACAACAGATTTCTGTATATTAATTTTGTATCCTGCAACTTACTGAATTCATTTATTAGTTCTAATAGATTTGGGTAGCATCTTTAGGGTTTTTCTGTGTATAGTATAATGCTCAACAAATGTTTATTAATTCAATTAAATTAAACAACCTAGCCTTGATAGAGCTCCTAAATACCATGAGTATGCAAGAGAAAGAAAAGGCATGGTTCTTGTCCCCAGGGATCAGAGTTAAATTAAGGAGATGAGACCATCACTGTGACCTTTAAATAACACCCTTACTGGCCTGTCAAATCATTTCTCAGCCAAACAGCTGCTTGGGAGGGCAGCTAGGAAGAGGACCCCAGAAAAACTCCTGAGAAGCAGAAAGGGAGTCACCTGGCACCTGGAGCCAGAAAAAGGAACCAGAAAGACAGGAACAAGGGTTGGAAAGATGGGTCTGCTGACTGCCATGTTGCCAGGGCCTGGGACAGATGCCAGGATAAAGTCCACAGACGGCAATTGCATTCAACAGTTCTAGTGATGGAGAAAGTGCTCCCACCTCCACACTAAAGGCCACACCTGGAGGCTGGGGGTAGGGAGCCGGCACCTCCAGGTCAGCGCCACACTGCAGTGAAGAAGAGAGACCAGACTGGCTAGTCTCCAGCCCTAGGACCAGCCTTCCATAAACTGGCAAGGGGAGGGGTGTCCTCTGTAAATGGTAGGGTTGGTGCCACAAAGGCAAAAAATCTGGGAGCCCGAGCCCACCACTTACTTCCACACCTTGCCCACCCTGGAGAAGAAGATGGAGTGTCTCAGCCTATCCTTCCCCCAGGAACTTTGCCAAGGGATGCAAGTTGATGGCTGCCACCAGCTGGAGTCCACCCATCATTCCCAGAGTCTCTCTCTAGACCCTGGGGTTCTCCCTTTTAGCTTAGGTCTTTGGTCTAGATGATCAGCCAAGAGTGCCAGTGACACACATGCCTGATGAGGTCTGATGACACTGTCAGCTCTGTCAACATTTACTGAGCTCCAACCATGATGCAGGCTCCTGGGCAGCTTCCTATCTAATGTCTTCTGCATTTAAGCCTTACTACTATAAGGTAATTAATTATTCATCCCCACTGTATAGATGAAGAGACTGAGGTTCACAGGAGTTGTGCCCCTTGCCCAGAGCCTCCCAGTCCAGGAGTGGCAGAGCCAGGCATGGACCCTTGTCTGTCTCACTTCCGAGGCTTTGCTCTTGTTGTCACACCACTCTGGCTCCCAGATATTTTTGTGGCAGTGTATCAGGAAAAAGGAGTATGATTACAATGGCAGTCTGCTGGCACATCTGGAAGAGGCACCGCACTTGTGTGATATCCTTGTAGAGAGAGAACATATACGCTGTTCCGGCAGCCAGGAGAGTTTAGCCCTGGGGTCTCACTAAGATGGCTGTAACTAACCAGGGAGACAACAATTTATTTACCAAATCCTTATGCACATAACAAGCAGTTGCTGTCTAATTAATGTTGCCATTGATTACTTTGTTAAAGGATAATTAAAGGTCTAATGGTTACTTGTTGCAGGTATAGAAAATTCCTATTTCACCCAGGAGCTAATCTTTTCAAGTCCCTAGATTGCTAGTAGTTTTAACTAAAATGCGGCTTTGAATCTGAATGTCTGTTGACATCCTCAGAGGCTCTCGGGCAGTCAGGATGTCTCGTGGAGGACTAGAGGTGGCTGTATGTATCTTTGTCCATGGCCGGATGATTCCAGGGTTTGCTCTTCAGTTGCCGTGACTGCTGTTTTCCCAGGTGCTTTGGAGAAGATGTGTGTATCAGCCTCCCCGACGTGGACGCCTACGTGATGGTGCTGCAGGCCGTCGAGCCCCAGATCACCCTCCATGGCACGGACCGCTTCTGGAGACCCACTGCCCAGTTTGAAAGCGCCAAAGGGGTTACCCTCTTCCCCGACATCAAGATTGTGAGCACCTTCACCAAAACCGAGGCCCCCGGTGCCTTGAAGACCACAGGTACAGGCACACACTGGGTTGGGGTGGGGGGGGCATGGGACCTTAAATTCTCACGTAAAGTATGATTCTCGTCAATCACACTTCAGGACAACTGAGGTATTGTTCACTATAGCGGGGTAATTTATGATAACAGAACAAAAAAGCCTGGAAACAATGCAGATAAATAACAGAGAGGAATGAATGGCTTAGCAAATTGTGGTACCCCCATAGAAGAGGTATGATGTTGGAGGGAAGGCACTTATGCCAAGCAGCAAGTTAAAAAAAAAAAAAAAGCAAGATGCAAATTACAGAGTAGCTACGTGGAGAGTGATCGCAAGTCTGTCAAGAAAAAAAATATGTAGAAAAATGCTCAGAAGGAAACACACCTAATGCTAACAGTGATATTCTCTGAGAAGCAGGAAAACAGCCAACTTGTTTCTGCTCCCCTTCACTTCTCTACAACTGCAAAATGTTCTGTAGTACACGTGTATTATTTTGGTAATGAGAAGAAAAGTTAAAGAAGCATGAAGAAAAAAAATAGAGCTGCATCTTAATATATACACCGCAAAAGTCTCCTTCGGCAATATCACTCTCAACTCTCAGGGGACTTTCCAGTTGTTCTTTCCAATGGTTTCATCGTTGGGAGGGCTGTTCAGTAAAAGTAATTTGAATTGTCTGCCAGGAAGAAACACTGAGTTGCACTGAAAGCTACAGTATATTCGGCTGGTGGGGGGAGAGGGATGGAAGGATATGGAAGGAAGGCAGGAAAACCTGGGGCCCAGATCTACGGGGGGAATACGAGTTTGAGAACCGTCCTTTGCTGCCTCCTCCAAAAGAATGTTTTCAACTCTCCCTCTCCCCCTCCCAGAGCAGCTGCTAACGATGTGCTAGTGCCAGTGGGCCTGAGTTCCCGAAGGGCTGCTTCTATAATAATCCTAGCTACCCACGGCCTTAAAGCATGCTGGTCCCCAGCAAATGGGATGCCTGGCAAGACAGCCCTTCTTAGCTCACAAAAATAGATGGTGTTATACCACCTGTCTGGGCAGGACCGCTTCCCAGTTACTCTCCAAGGTGCATTAGGTCGTGTGATCTTCCCTCTTGCCCTCATCTGGGGCTAATATCAGACAGGAAAAGGAAGGGCCTCAGACTGCGGTGGCTGCAGGCCGTAGCTGAGAGTACCTGGATTCCCGAGGCCTGACATCAGCCTACAGGCAACGCAGGGACAAGCAATTATCTGGGTCCACATCTCACCTTCTGTTTATGAGAGGTGCATGCAGACTGGTAGCCAAGTGCCCGAGAGCTACTGTTAGTACTTTTAAATTTTCACTTTTATCGTTGTAAGAATAATCATTATTATGGGTGCCGTAAACAAGCAGGCTAATGCCATCTGCCACCCATGACCCTCTCCACCACCATCTTCTGCCCTCATCGACTCACTCTTTGTGCTGTTTCAGTACCAATGACATCACACCCCTCTCTCCCTCTGTGTTAGCTTACATGTCTACTCACTTTCTACCCTCGTCCTGGAAGGTCCCTCTCTGTCTCGTTCCCCATTATTGCTGACAGAAATCTCTACCTTCAACCCCTCTTCCAGAAGACCCCACCACCCTGACCCCTGGCTGGTACTGCACACGCCCAACCGCTCTGTACGCTTCCAGCCACTAGTGCTCTCTCTCACACACACTGGCGAGCCCTCGGTGGTGATTATCTGTTTATTAAACCAGACAAGGATCTCCTCCAGAGCCCAACTTATTGATTTGCCAGTAAGTCCCTGAGCCCAGTACAGTCCCTTCAGCACAGTGGGAATCAGGGAAACTGATGGAAGATTTTGTCCATATGCAAGCGCAAGAGAACGAGAGAAAATGGTGGGGTGAACACGCCCCCTACCTAGGGGGTGAGCAATCAGTCAGCAGTTGGGTCACAGGAGCCAGGATGACCCAACCTGACCTGACAAGAGTACGGCTCCCAAGAAAACCCAGAAACCACAGGCCATTTGAAAGAGAGATATACGTGTACCATTATTAATGACAGACTTCGTTAAGTGTATATTAACGTGCTTTTAGATTTTGCCAACGCTACACGAAGCCATTGAGATTGGCAAGCATTTAAAAAGTAAGTGTACAAAATTATTTATAACAACATATACCTGTTGAGAGCAAAAAATGTTTCTGGTATCCCTTAAAAACTAAACAAAATAAAGTAATTATTTAAAATAGCTCTCATCTTTTGTGAATCCTTTCAAAATTTGTTTTCATAAATGTTTTATCATGCACAAAATACATCTGCTTAATGAGTAAATATACTTATTTAAATGATCTCGAGTTCACAAATTTTTCAATAAAAGCCCGCAAGATCAAAAATATTCGAAGACCACCGGCCCAGAGGTTGAAACTTTCACAAAGTGTGGGATCAGAAGGTCATGGTTGCCGTCCAGCTCCTCCCCTGTTGTCTGTGTGACCCCAGGCAATCCGCCGCACTCTACCCCATGGACTGTCCACTCCCCCATCAGTGAAATGGGAATAGTAACAGTACCCCCTCTAGTGTCTGTCTGTTAGGATTTCCTTTGCACTGTGCCTAGCGTATAGCAAGGACTCCATAACTACTAATAACTTTTTATTTTAAAGTAGGATTTTCATTTAGGACTGCCAACCTGTCCAGCATTCAAATACTCAGACACTCCCCTGGGAAACTTGGGGTCATAGTATCAGGCAAGGACAGCTAGGCTGTCCAAGAACTAGAAACACAGGAACAAGGGTTGGAAAGATGGGTCTGCTGACTGCCATGTTGCCGGGGCCTGGGACAGATGCCAGGATAAAATCCACAGACGGCAATTACATTCAACAGTTCTAGTGATGGAGAAAGTGCTCCCACCTCCACACTAAAGGCCACCCCTGGAGGCTGGGGGTAGGGAGCCGGCACCTCCAGGTCAGCGCCACACTGCAGTGAAGAAGAGAGACCAGACTGGCTAGTCTCCAGCCCTAGGACCAGCCTTCCATAACTGGCAAGGGGAGGGGTGTCCTCTGCAAATGGTAGGGTTGGTGCCACAAAGGCAAAAAGTCTGGGAGCCCGAGCCCACCACTCATTTCCACACCTTGCCCACCCTGGAGAAGAAGAAGGAGTGTCTCAGCCTATCCTTCCCCCAGGAACTTTGCCAAGGGATGCAACAGCTCGTCAACTAGACTAACCAATTTACTTATTTAATTATATCACCAGTGCCGCTCCACTTCAGCAATGTGTCGTTATACTGCTCCATGCCAGCCCCTCAGATACTGAAGAGTTAGTCACGCAAAGTGCTTCTGCCCTTGAGAATCTCAGAGTCTGCTGGGAGAGACAGACACACACCATGACCACGGGGGAAAGCTACGAGAGCCTGGTGGAGGGGCACTCATCTCTGGTCCCAAAGGAGACCAATCCTTCTTGAGCATTTATTCTGTGCCACACATTGTTTTCAATCCTCTCAATGCACTTACCCTCTTTACAGATAAGGAAATTGAGCGGTAGGTGGTTTCTCTAATACTATACGGCTTCTCAGAAGCAGCGCTGGTATTCAAATTCACATCTTTTGGGGGTTTTTTTTTTTTTTTTGCGGTACGCGGGCCTCTCACTGTTGTGGCCTCTCCCACTGTGGAGCACAGGCTACGGACACGCAAGTTCAGCGGCCATGGCTCACGGGCCCAGCCACTCCGCGGCACGTGGGATCCTCCTGGACCGGGGCACAAGCCCGTGTCCCCTGCATCAGCAGGCGGACTCCCAACCACTGCGCCATCAGGGAGGCCCTAAATTCACATCTTTTGACTGCTGTGTTCATGCTCTTCACATAAATTTGTGCCGCCCAGCCTCAGGGGCTGCCTGGACATCCATCTGAGAAGTGGAGGTGATATTTGGGATCGCCCAGCCTCTCCTCCTGACCCAGCCTAAGCCTGGGGTTCAGTGACGGAGGAGGAGGACGGTGTGTCAGGGCCATGACCTGAGCTGTCCTCACTCCTGTGTTTTCCATGTGTCTGTCCTCCCACAGCCCCCAAATCAGCAGTTTTTGAAGAAATGCTTCACAACTTAGATTTCTGTGACATTTTAGTGCTGGGAGGGGACTTGGACCCCAAACAGGAGTGCTTGGAGCTCAACCACAGTGAGCTCCACCAGCGACACCTGGACGCCACCAACTCCACGGCCGGCTACTCCATCTACGGTAAGGCCGTGCTCAGTCCTGCACCTGGTGGTCCCTTCTCAGTGGCCCTGTCCAGGGAGTCATGAGTGGGATGCCAGCTCCATCTCCTGTGGAGGTGGGTCAGGAGGGAACCCTTGACCTCAGAGCGTGGACGTCTAGCCCCTCCTTTGACGAGCTATTCCAGTATCCGGGGGAATTGGCTCCCATTCCACTCCTGGGAAATCTGTAGAAACTAGGCAGGTGCCTACTCTTATCATGTTTGATCTCAGCAAGTATTACAGCAACATTTGGCAGATTGAGGCCAAACATTCTGGTCAGAGCCCAATCTATGTGGAAATTCTGTGCTTCAGTTTAATTGGCTCCTTAGAATGTCTGCACTGACAGAGTGTCTGCCCCTAAACACCCTGAGCTCTTACCCTCACCGACTTCAGGAGACCCATACCGCCAGCAGCTGCAGCCTGTCTCCCCAGCCCCTCTTCTGCCTTCTTAAGACAGGTGTGGTCTCTTGACACAGGTGTGGGCTCCATGAGCCGCTATGAGCAGGTGCTACGTCACATCCGCTACCGCAACTGGCGTCCAGCTGCCCTGGAGGCCCGGCGGTTCAAGCTCAAGTGCTCGGAACTCAATGGGCGCTACACCAGCAATGAGTTCAACTTGGAGGTGAGTGAGTCCCGCAGTTGTGAGGGAAGCCCCGGCCCGCCCATTCATTCACTTCGCTTATTCGGGAGAACTGCGGCCACTGGTCCACCTGCCACTCCCGGCCCACTGCACCCCTCCCTGCTCTTCTCAGGTCAGCGTCCTCCATGAGGTCAGGGTCTCAGACAAGGAGCACGTCAACCACCTCATCGTGCAGCCGCCCTTCCTCCAGTCTGTCCACCACCCGGAATCCCAGACTAGCATCCAGCGCAGTTCAGGTAGGTCACATGGGAGGAGGGACCTCAGGACACCAGGTGCTGATGGTGACTCAAGACCATCCACGCAACAGACAGTTAGGGTGCAGCAGCGCCAGAGGCGCCCAGAACTGAAGGAGGTGCCCGGCTGTGGAGAAGCTATGGGCCTGGCTCTGAGGCACTCACGGCCTCAGGAGGGCGCAGGTCAAGTACACAAGAAGTTATAAGAAATGTGTAATAGCAGACATTACAAAGGGCTGGGGTAAAATTTTTCAAGTCCTTTTAGACCCAACTCAAAGCTACATGCTGTATGTAGCCTTCCCTGAGCCCCTCACACATGCTCACACACACGTATGCACCATATTGCAAAGTCTCCCACCCTTACTTCTGTTCCAGTACCTTCCATATTGTCTTCCTATCTGGCGGGCACTTCTGTCTGTCCCGACTGAACTCCACAGTTTCTAGCTCTCAGGGGGAGGGGAAGGGGGCTGCCGTATGCTTTGATGGAAAAAGCAAGAGATCAAAGAGAATGTGCACTTATTGAGCACCTACTATGTGCCTCTGTGGAAATTCACATAGATGATTTCATTTGCTCCTCACAACTACCCATGGGATAGGAATGATGCAGTCTACTATAAAGATGAAAAAAGTGAAGCCCAGGCAGAGTAAGGTTCTGACCCAGAGCTCTCCGACTGGGCAGCGTAGGGCAGATTTTAACCTACACATAGATGTTTCAATCGTGTTCCATCCCAAGGGTGAGCTAGTCCCTCGCTCACCTCGTCCTGCGAATTCCTTCCTCATTCCAGTGGTCCCGAGCATTGCCACCGTGGTCATCATCATCTCCGTGTGCATGCTAGTGTTTGTCGTGGCCATGGGCATGTACCGGGTCCGGATCGCCCACCAGCACTTCACCCAGGAGTCTGAGGCTGCCAAGGAAGCCGAGATGGATTGGGACGACTCGGCACTTACTATCACGGTCAACCCCATGGAGGTAACAATCGTCACGCAGGGGCTGGGAGCTCAGAGCGGGATGCCTCTCCTCCACCCAGCTCCATCCTTCCTGTGCCAGAAGCCCTGCCCAGCTAGCCCAGCCCCACTGGTCCTTCCCTTCTCTGGGCTCCTCCAGCCTCTCAACCTGCATGAGCCGCACTTACCCACCAAATGCATTCACTGCTTAAAAACGTGTGAATTGCTCTCACCCGACAAACAAAAGCAGACATTTCTTAAGGCAAGCAGCCACGCAGTGTCTGTCCCTGGCCTCCCCTGTAGTACTTAGCTCAGAGCTGACTCACTCTCAGGGACTTGGTATTGAATTTTTGATTAGCTACCAGTATAAATTAGATGGCTTTGCTCCATCTGCCTGCAGAGCTCACTTAAAGACTCAGAATACGTTAATACAAAAACCCAATGGTAATACCTGCCATTTATTGAGCCCCCATCACGCCAGCACTGCACGGGGTCCTCAACATGCACCACCTCATTTACTCTTCCCAGCAACCTGTGAAGTGGGAGTCACCCTCCTCATTTACCAAGGTGGGACCAACTCAGAGAGGGAAAGTAAAGTACTCAAACTCCCAGAGCTGGTAATGGCACCATCAGTATTCAAACCCACGTCTGTCTGATTCTAAAGTTATCTTTCCAGTTGGCCATCAGCCCCCAGAATCCACCCATGAGTGTCCAAATGTCCCTGATCTGGACATAGGACACTCAAGAAAAGCCTCTTCCGTCGGGCCCTTTGTTCTGCCCATGGCTGCTGGGTGGGGGGAAAGGCAGGAGTAAGAAAGCGAGGGAGTCAGTGGCCATGAAGAGGAGCCACTGAGGAATGAAAAGTATCCCAGCTGGTCCCCAGTTTCCCCGCCTCACCTGGCCTCCTGCTCCAACTTCAGAGCCAGCGTGCCAATGCCGGTCAGCTCGTCCCAGCGTGTGCTGTAGGTATAGGGCTAAGTGCACCGCTCTGGGGACCCCAGCATTTCCACCTTCAGAGAGCTGAGCCTTGGGCCTAGGAGGCAAGATCATTATGCCTGGAGCGCTCCGAGTACCCGGCCAGAGCGTGCTCACCAAGGGCTAACCTGGTGATGCCTGCAATCAGTGAAGCATGAGCAGGGAGAGCCTTTGGGGCTGTCCAGGGAAGATTTCTTGGAGCCTCAGCGAGGCCTTGAAGAATGAGTAGGATCTGGGGGAGGCAGAAGAGAAAACACTCCAGAGATGGGATGTTGCCAAGCATGGGCTCACATCTCTTATGGCTGGTTTATGAACTCAAAACATAAATCCAGAAATAAGATTTGACTGGAATTGCCAAAAAGCTGGGGGGAGGGGGAGGGCACTGAAAAAGCGTGGGGTAGAGTTTGAGGACACAAACCCCCAGGGGTGAGGGGCAGGCGTGGAAAATGAGGACCGTGAACTTTGTCCTTCTGAAAGGAGTATTTTTGAGGGGTGGCACAGCCGAGTCTCGGCTTAGAAGACCTTCTGCTCCCAGAGACATTATTTTCCCACCTGGAAGAGGGGTACAAGCTTAAATGCTATCCTCGCATTGAGAAGCAAGTCATTAAAGACTTGGACACCTATGTAGATAGGTTTCAGAAATGCCAGAAAAGCCTCCCTGAATGATGGATGGGATCGGCCTCAATGTCCAATGTTTAAAACGCAACGATTTACCTTGAGTTTGGGTCCTGGAATTTGCCATTTCTTGTCCTTGTCCTTAGCCCTCCGATTGGTCTTTCACCAAAGGACTTCCCTTCCAGAAAGCCTATCTCCCGGCCCAAGGGTTTAGCATCAAGGGAAGGAGTTGCAAGGGGCCCTAAACGTCTCCTTAATGGAGGGAGAAACTTAAACTCCAGCGTGGCTCCTGTTTGATCCCTGATGAGCGTTTCCCTTCTCTCCCTGCCATCCAGAAACACGGAGCCCCAGGGCGTGGGGAAGATGAGACCGAGGAAGAGGAAGAGGAAGACCTAAGCTCGAGCAGCAGTGACTCCGAGGGCAGTGACGAGGACTATGGGGTGGGCAGGGGCGGACACCGGCAGGGCGGAGCCGCGCAAGCGCAGCTGGAGTGGGATGACTCCACCCTCCCCTACTAGTGCCCGCCTTCTGCGCCCGCCCACGTGTCCCTTTTGGAAGCCCCACCCCGATGTACGCCCCAACCTATCACGTCGCCTCTGACTTCTATGACAGGTCCCGGCAGGCCTTCCCCAGCATCCTGGAGCCCACCCTTTATGCCTTGGGTACTCCCCACGTCCCAGCCCTGGGGTGGTTCCCAGAAGCCCAGCGTCATCCTCACTGGGGACTTCAGGGGGGACTTTGTCCTGTGGCCCCCACTTCTCTTGCACTGGGCTCACCCAGCAGCCTGGATCCGTGGGTACCGTGTTTGCTCTTCCCTGCAGGGGAGAAGGTCAGCCTTCATGTCGCTCCCCTACCTGGGCTCCACGTTCTCAGGGCCCTGAGGTTCCAACCCCCTGTGTGGGCACTGACTCCGTGGTGTCTCCACACCGACCATCAGGTTCTTCGCACCTGACTCTCCAGGCTGCTTCCTACAAGCAGGATGGTCAGACTCCACACACCCGAGGTCTAAGCCCTCAACACTTCAAAGGAACGTCCGTACCGAATTAAGTTTGCAGGGAAGGGTTTGCCTAGGCTGTCCCCACTGCTCCCTTCCCCCCGCCACACACACGTGCTCTTCCATTTTGGAGAGCCTTTCCCTTTGTCCTTTTTGAGGCCACAGAAGCTCATATGAGAAGTCCGAAGCCAAGAGCAGGCCCTTGGCCACAGCAGGGCCTGGTTCCAGCCAAAGCTCTCTGAGAACCTGCCTTCCTGGCAGCTGCTGAGACCCGCGGTGCTGCCCTGCTGGGGGCTCCCACAGCACGACACCATGAGGGCCAGGAAGCATTACACGTAGCCACTGCCCTGGGCGACAGCTGGGACAAGCCTACAGCCAGGGATCAGAAGGAAGGGCTTCATGGTGGACGCAGAGCTGGGTGACAGGGGTGGCTGGGCTCTCCTGGGCCAGAGGGCGACCCCAAGGTTGACAAGGCTCTCACTGTCTAGTCTTAGGGTCCCTCATCCCCTAGTTCACAGTTTTGCCTCTTGAGAAGAAACACTCCTCTTGGATGTTTTGGAACAAGCATGAACTGCGCCGAGTCTAAAATAAGAGTTTGGAGATTTAACTGCTAGAAATTAGAAGCATCTTTGCCATAATAACAGCTTCTTTCTTCTCAGAAAAGGAGCAATGCTTTGGGTGGAGGGCAAATATATCCAAAAACCATTTCCTTCTTTCCTTCTTCTTTGTTTTAATAAGGAAACCTTTTCCATCTCCATCTTAACATGGACACTTTTGGAGGAGAACTGTTGCTATAGTAACTGGTCTGTGATCTTTTCTGGCGGAGAGTATAGCAGGCAAGAGCTAGGGCTGTTAGAGGCCTTCCATGAGGCTCTAAGAACGTCTTTGTTTCAAATGTCTTGGGCTTTTTTTGTCCTTAGTATGTATGATCTGTCCCCTCTCTCCCCCACCCCAATTCCCAGCCCATCCCGTACTGGCACGGGCACAGAGCTGGCCCTAGGCACAGGGTATTCAGGTTCAAAAGAAAGGTCGGAATGTGTTCATCCTACTCCCTGTGTCAGAGAGACACAGCTACTCTCCTACTCAGAGAGAGCTTATGAAGGGGGACCACCATCAATGTCTTTTAGTCTGACCTCCACCCAGTGAGGATCTGTGACAGGTCTTTGCAACCTTCTGATTTGAGGAAACCACCTTAGGCAGCCTTTTCCTTCACCTAAAGTGTTTTTTGCATCTGTTTCCTCCTTTGAGCCTCACAATAATCCCATGAGGGAGTGGGGAACGCCTGTTGTTAGACCCATTTTCATGATGAGTAAACTGAGGTTCAGAGATTCAGCATCTTGCTCAGAGTCATTCCGAGGCATAGACAAGATGGGACTCCCCACTCTTGGCCCAGTGCCTACCACCCTGATTCTACCTATGCGTATTCATGCAGCTAACAGGCATTGCTGAGGACCTACTATGTGCTAAGCGCTCTACCAGCAGCTGTGGGAAAGGGAGAAAGTGGAAGAAGCTCCTCCCTCAGAGGACTTGATAGTTGCAGAGGAGAAACAGGCAGGCATAGAAATCATACAAGAGACAAATGCAGAGGGAGGGAGAGGAGAAGTCACAGGCTCTGATTTTCCCCTCTTTAGAAAAGACACTGGCAGAAGTGTGGGGTTTTATATTCATTGAATGGAAATAGACACCTCTGTGAATTTTCCCAGTCAAATAGCCCTTTTCTATCAGGCAGGGTCTGCACATCTAGAAGGAGAAAATCTTGGATTTTTAGTCCTCACAGACCCCTTAGTTAAATAAAAACAGACTTTTTAGCCAGGCACTTAGGAGCTAACAGAATTCTTCCAAAATTAAGGCAGTAAAATGAGTACTGTATTTATAGGTTTAAAGCCAATTCTTTTTGAATTGGATTTTGATTTAAAACATTTGAGTCCGGTGTTCATGAGAGTGCTTTCTCCTGCTAGGGCTTTCATTTTGGCTGTGGTGGGGAAGGTGGTCTGGTGCCCTCCAACTGCCTTCTATGGCTACATCACTTATTCACAGCTCGGTGAGCTGCTTGGGGCATGTGAAACCATTTTGTGGGTTTTTCAGGGCTGGGGGGGGCGGGGGGAGGGAACAGGTGAAAGTGGAGCTTGTCATATGTAGAGAAACAATGGGGTCAAGTCCCCTTGTTTCCCACTGAGCCCTTTCCATCAACTCCTGCCGTGGAAGGTCACCCTGCATGCCAGCCCCAAGGACAAGGCATTCGAAGTGATGCTGCTGCGTCAGTGGGCATTTATCGTGTTCCCAGCACCCTGCTCAGCGCCATGGGTGAGAATAAGAAGGGGAGACTATATAAAAGTAGCAGAGGCTTCGGGGAGTATCCAGGTGAGTGGCGAGTAATGTGATCTGCCCTCTCGCAGGGATTCTAACCGCGGGTGGAAAATGCCATTCATAAGGCCAGCGTTGTCCAGGCTCCATCTGCTGGCATCTGGGAACCAAAACTCCCAGATGGCCAGATCCCCTGTGGCTTCTCACCCAGACAGCAGCGGCAGTACATGTACACTTGTACCGGGGGGAACAGCTGACCAGTTTGGCCACAGGCCAGGCCAGTGCTTGTCTTGCCAAGTGGATGACCAGATCGTGCTCTCTGGAGGTTGCAAATACATAGGCGGAAACCTCTCACATGACTCGGGTGACAGGGAGGAAGTGAAAGGAGAGGTTGAGGTGAAGAAGCCAGTACAGAATGAGTTGCCCTAGTGGAGTAAAGCAATCAGCTAGCTGGTCATCAGTCTTAAGGAACGAGAAAGGTACATTCTAGTAGGTTTAATCAAATGCTATAAGTCTGACCAAGGCCCCAGTTCATCTAGCTACCAAAAACGTGGGTTCTGCTTGCACCACCTCTTTCTTGAATGTACACAGCCATGCTATCAAGCAGGGCTTAGCCCACCCACCTCTGCTCGTAGCAAGGGCTGTGCCTGGCGGACCTGGACCCTGCAGGGCGTTGAGCTCCTGAAGGGGAAGCGATGTCCTCTGTTCCTATACAACAGGGACTGGCAAACTTCACCTGTAAATATCCAGTTAGTAAGTATTTCGGGCTTTGCAGGCCGTGTGGTCCCTGCCGCAGGCATTTGACCCTGCCACGGTAGCATAGGCTTAAATGAATGGATATGGCTATATTTCCCCAAAAGCTTTATCTGTGAACACTAAGAAGGAGCAGGCAATTTGAATTCATATTGTTATCACATGTCACAAAAGTTTATGACGCCTTTGATTTTTATTTTCAAGCATTTAAAAATGGAGAAACCTTTCTGAGCCCACTGGCCTTTCAAAACCCAGCAGCCGGCCAGATTTTGCCCAGGGGCCGTGGTTTGCACACTTCAACCATGTGTGTGGGGAAAGCAGCCTTGCAGCTGCCAAGGGAAAGCAGATTCCTATCTTAGGCCCTCCCATCAGCTACCCCGTGGTCTTTGCCTGCAAAATAAACAGCAAATAACACCACAGTCCTTAATTAAGCTGTTTTTAAAATCCATGTTCCAGGGGGAAAACCAAAACCAAAACCAAAAAATACTTATTGCTCGTTGAGTTGCCTCAAACGCAGGCAAGCATTCCTCAAGAACTGAAAGGCTTGGGTCCAGGAACCTGCTGACCGCGGAGTACAAACCCTATTGAGCTAAGGGCTAACTCCCAGGCCCAGGGCCTTCCCCCAATGACTCAGCCCATAATGATTTCTAAGCAGGAACGTTCATTATTTCAGACTGATTTCCATTCAGCCCTGCTCATTGCCATCACTCTGAAAATGATCTAAAAGTCTTGTGACCATTTGAATCAATACAGCATAATCAGTAGAAAGCCTGCCCCGGCACACTTCAAAATTAGCATTCTTCTTGGCTGTATGATTCAATTCTAGCCAAAGGAGGACATTTTCTTAACCGTCCTCTCATTTAAGTTAACCAAATCAGTTTTACAAAAAAGTGAGAGAGCTGGTCTACTCCTCTGAAAAAATTTACCAGTGCAAAGTAGATGTTTTTCAGGGAAGATCGTGCTGAGGCCTTTGGGGGATCCCCAAAGCCTCCTGCCATGTACTCTGACAGGCTACGGGTGCCACACCATTCTCTAGCGGCATCAGACATTTATCGAGGCTGCCAAGCCAAAGCCCTGGGCACAAGTTAATTTTCATGGAACCACTTTCCGTGGTCCAGCTGTAGGCAAAGGAAATGAGTAATGAAAGTTTTGAAGTCTACTCCAGTACCTTCATCTCCCTGCCTTTATTTGCTTCACTTTATACATTTATTCTGTATCTGCTTTATAGACCTTGCCCTAGTTTTCCTTTGGGCACCAACCAGAAAAAAGAGTTAGTTGACTTGGTAAGAAGTGGGTTAGAAGCCAAACTTGACTATCCCAGGGAGATGAAAAGAGACAGAAGATGTCACCTCCACCAGCACCCCAGAAAGCAATCAGACACCCCCTGTATGCCATCAGTGAACAGATGGGATTCCGTGTTTGCAGCTATGTTCAATGTAATTCAGCAAACCCTTGCTCAGCACCCGTGGTGTGCCACCCCCGGTGCCAGGAATGGGGAAGGGAGGATGGATGAGTCGTGGCCCTGCCCGTGAGGATCTCCTGGTCTTGCAAGCTGCTGGGATGTTCCCTCTGCCATGCTGGAGGCTGTCTATGAGCCATCAGGACTGGCGGGACAGAAGTTTGGGGTTGGGAGAGGGGGGATAACTTGCTCTGCCACTTCTCCACCCTAAGTCAGGTGGTAGGTGTGATTCTGGGAGCCCTGCCACACATTGCTGAGGCCAAGTGGAGAACTTTCTAGGGAAGCAGGCAGTGCTTCCCTATGCGTTTCTTAATTCCACCCCAGGCTGACTCAGTTCACCTGCTGAGGGAAGCCAGTCACCCTGCCTACGGGGCAGAAATAACATGACCGAGGGCTAGGATTCAGTGAAAGCAACCAAAGGAAGTTCTTTTTTTTTGGGGGGGGGGTTTTTTTTTTTTTTATTCGAACAGAAAGTCACAAAAATTATAATCGTCCTCATCAGTGCACTCAGTCCCGTGTAATTAATTTTTTTATCTTGATCTTTTGTTAGCACTTTTATGAGTTTATCAGTTTTCCATTAGAGTTCTGAAAATGCTTATTCATTCAGTTCAGCAGTATAGTCAGTTACCAGAAACCTGTACGTGTCAGAGTCTTTTCCATGAATTCCTTGAAGATGAAACCCTTGTATAGAAACATTTTTGCAAATGCATCAGAGTATACCCAGAACTGTCTGTAAATGACAAAAGACTTAAAAATGACCACGGTTAAAGATTTGATGAAAGTTCATAATAATGCAATCGACAAGGAAATGTAGTTATTTCTGAGACGTACATTTCAAAGGAAGTTCTTACATACCAAGAGCAGGCAGCCAGACGTCGGAAGTTAGGAAGGGTGACCCAGATCCAGGGACCAGCATGAAAGCCCACAGCCACGGGACAGCCTGAGTGAGCGAGCACCTCGGACGCCCCAGGTCAGAGCTGGAGACGGAAGCAGGGCTGACTCCGGAGGACCCGCTGCAGGTTCACACCCCACCCTGTGGAACCCAGGTTCTCAAGGTATCCTTGGGCCAGTGCAGCGGCATCACCTGGGAACGAAGGAGAAATACAAATTCTCGGGCCCGCC